ACAACATTAAGATATCAAGCCTAGTTATATAGAACCATACGGCTTAAAGTATGTGAAAGCTTAGCCAAAGAGAAGATTATGAACGCGCGAACTTGTTGGGGTTACGCGACTTATCTCGGGTAGAGGATTATTTGCCGCCAATAAGCCCCGCCTTTACAGACTATTGACTTTTTTCTTAATTGCAAATTATATACATTAGATGTAATGGAGCACCACGATTAGATTGGGAAGTTTAGGAGAAATGGGCGTTGAATGTTCTGTAAGATGGAAATGGGACAGCTGTCCGCGTGGGCGCTGCCTAATAGCGGTAAATAACCTTCTATTCATTTTACTCGGGCCCATGATCGCGGAGGCCATAAATTTAGGAGATGAACATTACACACTTCATTTCTTATGGAGAATCATTTAGTAGATAAAGAGTTGAGCTCTTTATTGGTTGTTACTCTAAATGATAAAGTCACATGGTATCATTCTCATGTTAGCTTGAATTGTAGATGTCCAGCTTTCCCATATTGTTAGAAGGCACATATTACAAATAGACTAAACTTATAAAGTAGTACTTAGAGAGAATCTTATCTGTTCCTCTTCTGAAGAGGCAATTCGCGTTTCATGATTTTGTGAAGACAAACTTCATGCACATAAATAATGTACCGAAGTTTGAAAAAAAAAACTTTGGTAGGGCGAATTGCACAACTCTTCAGTTCAGGATTTGCGCTATTAAACTAGAAACTTCTATGAAATTCGGATGCAAAATCAGCCTACAGTGAGCTAGAGTTTCAAATCCCGAGCACTTTGAAACCATATAACTAATTTTTGACACTAAATTCTGCACACAATAATTTGTTTCTTGAACAGACTCATTATGACTTCAAGTAATTTTGAAAAATAGCTGAATTTCTGAAAAAGTGGTTTGGTTACGCTAATTAACTACAAAACAAATTAATCGTTTTAGATCTCTGTTTCTCATCTAGTAGCGCAGATAAACAAACTGACTTAGAATCATCAAGCACATGACATGACCGCAATTACCATGTTGATTTGCGGTCAACGTCGCTGGTTATTGTTTATAACTGAAAATCTTATAGTTAATGAACTAGTTCTTTTTCTTGATTAGCGAATTCAGTGAAATCATGGAACGCCGTATATAAGAGAATGGAGAATCAACTTGGTAGATATGGGATTATACTACTCCTTTACCTGCTTATCTCCTCCTTGTACAACAGTTTTTTAGACTTGGTTTTTCGTACACCTCTCTAGCGGTGAATTTTATTTGATAGCTAACAACAACATAATTTTCAGCTTCCATTACCTGGAGAAATGAAAATCATCGTACTGATTTTACTTGCGGCTTTATGCACCCTAACAACAGCGCAAAATTTGAAAGGTATTTTCTTCTTTGCTAAACTCTGTGAATTATGAATGGCCCAAAATGAGCAAGCTCAAAAACAATTTTTTTAAAAATCATTATAAAAGTTATATCTAATGAACAGCTATATTTTTAGTTGATCCATCCGCCTCTGGAAATACAGAACACCGCCGATACCGTCGACAATGGGGATGGGGTATGCCAATGTACAGACCTTGGGGATGGGGTGGTATGTACAGACCTTGGGGCTGGGGTGGTATGCACAGACCTTGGGGCTGGGGTGGCATGTACAGACCGATGTGGGGCGGCGGAATGTATAGGCCGATGTGGGGTGGCTATGGATTTCGACCATTCTTTCGACCATATGGAGGATGGGGTATGTCCCAAAATTAGATTTTGTGAAATTACATGCGTATTTATTTACCAATCTCATGCGTTAGAAATCTGTGGCGCTATATACATTTTATTCCAGGATGGGGCTAATTGGAACGACTCTCTTCTCCACGCATCTAATCTCGTGACTGTACATTCCTGGCTGATTTGCCTTCTGTATTCCCAACGAATAAACCTTGTATAAAGATCAATTTGGATTACAGTGTTGCTCAGTACATTAGAGTATGTCTAATCGCATTGAAATGGACTTTCTTAAACATAATTCTACTCAAATTCTCTCAACAAGGAGAAAGAGAGGGAGAACCCATCTGAACCCAACTTGCGTTGCTCACCAATGACACCTGTGAGACCAAGAAGATGCGGCGCGGCGAGAGCGACAAACAGACGAGTTTTCTATGGATTTCTCTTTGCTTATATTGACGTCACATTTCGTATCTGATCCAGCAAATGCATAGATAGCATGCGGTCGATTGAATTGGACTTACACCAACTAGAGGGTTTTTCGAGCTCTCATGATTAGCAAATTGTCCCATATAACTGCCTTTAATTCGATAATTACCTATGTTCTGCAACAGAATGATGAACAACAACAGCTAGTGACCAGTCGATTCAGTCAAGCACCACAATTTTTATAACAATAGCACTTCTCCAGGAGCTCACG